GAGATCAGCCTGAACAAGAGCGAGACCTGTCTCTACTAAAAATGGAAAGAAATTAGCTGGACAACTAAAAATATATATAGAAAAAATTAGCTGGGCATGGTGGCACATGCCTGTAGTCCCAGCTACCCGGGAGGCTGAGGCAGGAGGATTACTTGAGCCCAGGAGTTCGAGGTTGCTGTGAGCTAGGCTGATGCCATGGCACTCTAGCCCGGGCAACGGATCAAGACTGTCTCAAAAAAAAAAAAAAAAGAAAGAATAGGAAGAGAGAAAATATCACTGAATTAGGTAAGAAGTTAATGGTAAACGTAACCCATAAGTAAAAAGGCTCAATTATTATTTTTGGTAAACAGTTTTGTTCTCAATAGCATGAAGTCATCACGCTAAATACTGCTTGCTGAATATTAAGCTAAGTACCTAACAACTGTATACTCAATGTAGCTCCTTCTAATGACATACAATTTTGCCCAAATATAATTAAGGAAATTACCAAGCTTTCAGAGTTGGGAGGGCACTCTCCCACTCCCATGTTTACAGGAAGTAAGCTTCTGACAAGCTAAGCTCCAAGTTATCCAGGCATAGACAAGAACCCACGTCTCCTGACATCCACTCTGTACTTGTTCCCCCCGTGAAACACCATTTATTAAGTTCATTTACAATTATGCATGTTTGTATAGGTTTTCCCTGTAAGATTGGGTTTTTGAAGTTACAACTGCAGTTTCGTGTATTTCCCTTTGTGCTATTAAACCATGCATTAAAAGCAATTTGCTAGGGTCAACACATTTGGGAAGTCTCAGTGACTAAAAGATGGTCTTACTCACAGCTCTGGTGATTTAAACATTCAGATGATAACTACCCCGAATCTTTCTCCATTTCAGTTTCACTGCCTTTTCTGAAAATTCAACTCTTCCTTAATATTAAAAGTCATTATATTAAATACTAATTCTCTATCATTTATCTTTAACAGTCTACTACCTAAAATTTTTTTATAAAAAACTTTTTAATGTTTGCCATTAATTATAAGGCTCTATCTATAAAATTATATGAATTTATAAATTAATGAACTTGCTATTAAAAACCTTATAGTTATAGTAAGGTTCAAATAAAAACATCTTGTCAGTTTGAAGAAATAGATTAGGCTTCCCTTGCCTTAGGCAAATATTTATTCTTACAAGCGTTCAAAGATATAATTTGCTGACATTATGGATCTTCTTCAAGGAAAAAATAGAACATTTCGACTTAGTACGTATCAATTTTCACACTGAAATAATGAAAAGAGCATCAACATAAGAAATTGCTTCTAAGTGATTTATTTCTTTGTACTTTCAGAATAACATTATTTAAAATGTAATATGCTGAAAATCACTGGTGAATCCTAAAACTGCTTGCCTGAAGAATGACTATAATCCCAGTACTGTGCAGCCATAAGGACGTTCAATTGATAGCACAGAAACAATGGGGAGCTTGCTGCAGAGAGAAAATTACATATATTTAGGTCATTGCACCAGCTTATTAGCAAGCAATTAGGTTACCAAATGTCAATTCTCCCCTTAAAACAAAAACTCCCTCAAAAAAAAAAAAATACATGAGCATAAGGTCAGATCTAAGGATAGAATAAATTAAAAAACTGATTGTATAAATTTAGGACTCTAGTAATTACATTGAATTCTCAACTTAGTATTTCTTCTTTAGCTCTGGAAGGGTGGATGGCAGTTAGGGGATGCTTAAGTTTTGACAAAGTTCAGGTCATATCTGAATGGCAGATAAAGCTATGTAATTACATCTCCTCCTATGTGTGTGCAGGCTCCACTCTCTACCCCATCGGTGTTCAGTTCTGTTACAGCACACCCCACGGAGCCTCAGAGATTTGAAAAAAGAATCTTAAGAGTGAAAAGAACCTCAGGTAATCCAATTCAACTTCCTAGGACTCCAGTGTAAGAATTTCCTAAGCACATACACGGTGTCTGGTTTTTAAGTTTTAGAGACGTCTTCCTTTCTCTTTTGGGATCTTTGAGAATCTGCTAAGATTTGTGGGTCCAGAATAATGTATCCAAACATATAAATGTACAACATTTCGAATATAATTTCACAGGGGATCTTTTTGTAGCTCATAAGCATGATGACTGGGTTTTCACATGCCTGTGTGAGATGTGCCTCCCTCAAACCTTGTTAAGACATCAGCACATTACTCATCTGACGTGGAAAAAAAATATTTTTTTTTGACAGGATTTGCAGGTCCCTTGTTAAAATACCTCCTCTTCTGATTATGGCGTTCTCCATTACAGTTATCTCCTTATTGAAGCTCTGCAATTCTACTTAGCTTTTAAAAATGAAACATCTAAAGTAAAACAACCAACCTAAAGGCAGAGTTTGAGTCAAGGCAAAGAAAACCCTGCCAACTGCCCCAGAGTGGATGACAACTTTTACTGACTTCATATATAACCTCCTTGGGACTTTCCAGGTAACTCTTGTAATACACTTTATTGTGAAGAGATAAGACATTATTAAAACAGACAAAGCAGGAACAAAAAGGTAATCATCCAAGTGAAAGGTAATAATGAAAAAATATTTTTAAAACTCCATATTAAAGAAGGCATTCTTGTAACAAGCTCCCCATAAATAAATGGATTTCATGAAGAGACATCAGTTTTTATTCTTTCCCCATTTCTCCTTTTGAATGATGGAGAGAGAACAAATAGGAATAGTCTAACAATCTTTTCAAGGCAAATTCATCTTCCCTTCTGTGTCCAAGTATAACATCTACCACCAAAATTTCTGGTTGTGTTCTTTTTTTCTGGCGATAAGGAATGAATCTGGTTGTGTCATATTCCGAAGATATGGAACTACAGTTTACTAAACTATAATAAGGTAATGAGAAATTTTACTTTAGCTTTGCCACTTTTGATTAGAAAGAAAAAATAAAAGCAACTTAAAATATGAGATTTCATGGGTAGCAAACCAACACAGACGATGTCTTTTGAGCAGCAAGAATGCTTCAGATGAATATTCTGTTCTGAAGAGTTCTACTATTCATTCATGTAGAAACATTTTAGCTTTACTGCAGAGAAATACAGCTATCAAACAATCCCCGGCAAGCTGACAAGAAGAGCAGAAGGAAGCACGTCTGGGTAGAAGTAACAGCTTGTGCAAAGGAACAGTGGCAGGAGGGAACCCTTGATCGCCAGTAAGAAATTAAAGGCAGGGGCTGGGTGAAGTGGCTCACCCCTATAACCCTAGCACTTAGGGAGGCTTAGGTGGAAAGACTGCTTGAGGCCAGGAGTTTGAGACCAGCCTGAGCAAGAGCTAGACCCCATCTCTACAAAAAATAGAAATATTAGCCAGGTGTGGTGGTGAGCGCCTATAGTCCCAGCTACTCGGGGGGCTGAGGCAGAAGGATCACGGATCACTTGAGCTCGTGAGTTGGAGGCTGCAGTGAGCTAGATGAGGCCACTGTACTCTAGTCAGGAAGACAGAGTAAGGCCCTGTTTCAAGAAAAAAAAAAAAAATTAAAGGTGGCCAGTGTGGAACTATCTAGAGGAAGGCTGGAGAGTGACAGGACCAGATCCTCTTGGGTTCCATAGGCTATATTATCGCTTGCCTCCAAGTGATTTTCCAGTCACCCCCAGATGTGGTCATTTTGGTGGCCATAAACCAGTGCCAGGTTTCTGTTTTCTATTCAATAAAAGTAGGTCATCTGAGTTCTAAGAATTTAAGTTCTCCTCATCTGAGTTGTAAGAATTTAAGTTCTTCCCGGGGAAACCAATGAGCTATTTTTTTACTTGGGATGGTTAAAAAACAAAACAAAACCAGCCAGACGCGGAGGCTCGCCCCTGTAATCCTAGCACTTTAGGAGGCCAAGGCAGGAGGATCACTTGAAGGCAGGAGTTCAAGATCAGCCTGAGCAACAAAACTAGACCTCATCTCTACAAAATAAAGAAAAATCAGCTGGACATGATGGTGCCTTCGGGTAGTCCCAACTACTCCTTCGGACGCTGAGGCAGGAGGATGGCTTCAGCCCATAAGTCTGCGACTGCAGTGAGCTATAATGATGGCACTGTATTCTAGCCTGAGCAACAGAGTGAGACCCTGTCTCAAAAAATAAATTAAATAAATAAATAACTCAAAACCCATAAACATTCTAAGTATTCTGATTTTTCCCAAACTGGTCCTCTTGTAGAAAATGTTGCTCATCATTCGTTGAAACAGTACAACAATAGCAGCTCAACACGAATGTAAACAGAACAAAAGTACTTTGATATTTCCTTTAAAAGGTTTACGGCACTTTAATTGCTTAAAATAAACCGAAACTCAAAGAAATGGAAAGAGAAGCATACCATGCCCTAGATATGCTATCCTCACAGACACACAAAGAGCTGTCCTTCTGACTTTCTACCTCGAACACACACATCGCTCACTCAGAAATAATTCTTTTCCAACGAATACAAAACTTCTGAAAGACAATTTACTGGAAATACACACACGTCTCAAAGCCATGCGTGATATCGGAAGCGCCTGTCCAAGTTAAACTGCTTCCATGGGCTCGCAACAGGAAAACCGCAAAAGCCAGAGAAAGATAAACAGAAAGTACTTCGCAGTCTAAATACAGGCACTTTGGCTGATAATGCAGAGTTACAGCTGGGAGAAGAGAGGAAAGTAGTTACAGAGGATGAGTGAAAGAAGTCTAAGTGGCTGATTTGGGGCTCCTCCGACGCATTTCCTGGACCCGCCTAACTTGCTCGGTGGCCCTAGTCGTCTTCGGGGACTCTGGTGGGGAAAGGCCGGGGGATGAGGGGCCGCCCGGCGGAAGCCGGGAGGGGAGGGCGGAAGGTAACGCCCCCTTCCCCAGGCGGAGATGGAGGGAACGGGGGTGTGGAAACGGCCGCTTACTGAACAAGCAGGCTGAGAAGAAGCCGCTCGGCAGCCTCCCAAGCCCGCAGGCCGACGGCCCCCAGGCCAGACCCTCCTCCCCAGCCCAGGCTCGCCCTCCCGGGCCGCGGACTCACCAGCTGCAAGCCTTTGAGAACTTGCCGGTACCAACGGAGCCGGCCCTGGAAGAAGTAGGCGGCGAGGCCGCTCCGGGGGCCTCTGACGGGGCCCGGATCCTCCTCCGTGGTGGGGCTGTACACCGCTCCGTTCTCCATCGCCCAGGGCCGGGGAACGCGACGGCCGCAGCAGCAGCGTCACTGACTTCGCGGACTTCGCTAACTCCAGAAGTCCCCGGGAGCGCAGAAGGCCGTCACTTCCTGGGCCTCCTCCCCAGCTTCCTGCCGGCTCCGCCCTCGCCCCCGCCTTCCCTCGCCGCGTCCCCCGCCCGCCCCGCCTTCCCTACCCACTCCCGCTCCCACTACCGTTTCGCCCCAGACCTTAACCCCTCCTCAAAGTTGTCTGTTAGCTCTTGGGATTCTGGCTTTTGCCCAAGATTCGAGTTCTTTCTGTGGGCTTTTGATTTATTTCTCACCTCCCTCAATCTTCCATCTTCCAGATATTCATGCATGTATTCAATCAATGTTTTTTGAGAACTTACAGTGTGCAAGAACCCTGTTTTAGGTGCTGGGACTACAGACAAGTAAGCCAAAGACACAAGGCACCTGCCCTCTCAGTGCTACCTCCTAGTAGGAGAGACAGACAGTAGACAGTAAACAGATTAATAATTTCAGATAGTGATAAGTGACATGAAAATAATGCGATGTGATGGAGAGTTGGGTGCCCAACAGGCCACTGTGTAGTTACGAAAGGTATCTCTGAGAACCCTCATATTTGAGTTGGATGAGACTCAAAGTATGAGAAGAAGCCAGGCTCATAAAGATCTGGGGAGAGACTTTCATGCAAAGGGGACAGGAAGTGCAAACATCCTGCGGGCCAAATGACCAGTGTTGCTAGGGCTAAGTAGGAAGGAGGAGAGGAGGTGAAGTTGGAGATGCAGGCAAAGGTCAGGCAATGTAGAGCTGCTTTGCAGACCAAGGGAAGAATTTGGATATCATTTTACATATAATAAATTACATATAATAAATTAAAGAGCAGGATTGCTCTCTCCTGCCTCTCTCGGAATTCCTTTTAGGCTCACTTGCAAAATCATTTAGTTTGTCTCTTTCTTGGTCACCAGCTTCTATACTCACATATGGTAATTTTGTGTGAGCTTAGAAAGACTCATAAAGGAATGTAATTATATTTTAGCAACTGAAGTTGATTGAGTTACATGTCAGGCTGCACACCTATTTTCTCTACCACAATGTAAAGTAGATACTATCATTATCTTCATTTTGCAGATGAGAAAACTGAGGCCAAGAGGTTGAGTATCATATCCAAAGTCAAACAGCCAGGAGCAGCTGGAGTACAGGCCTGGGCAGTCTGATTCACCTTGCTGCTAACTAACCACTAACCCAGCAAACTTCAGCCTAATTTCTTCGGTAAGGTCTCAAAACCCAGGGAAGAAGGGAGGGGTTACTGCTGCCACATTTATCATCTCTTTTCCATGATCCCAAACCTCCCTTTTATTCTTCCAGTAACAAGACAAGAGCTCTCATTCAAATGAATGGAGACAAGTAGATACTACTCTGCGGGGGCTGTCTATAGCCAGCCAACTATCCTTCTGACTTTGATTAAATGGTTTCTAAATGTCTTCCCAAGGCCAAGCAACCACAAAATTCTGTCCAATAAAAGGAGGCCACTGAATTTTCACCAGGGCTACAGGGATTCACTGCCCTGTTATTCTTCAGGTCACCACCATCATCCCAAATTGGACACTACTGATGTTTAAAATTTCCTTAGAAATCCACCCCCAAAAATAAGATGGTTTGATGACTGAAAAGACAAAAGGATAGACTTGTGATAAAGCAACTGCAGTAACATGTTAATGGTAGAATCTAGGCGAAGTATATGGGTGTCCACTGTATAATTATTTTAATATTTCTCTGTGTTTGAACATTTTCAAAGTAAAATATTGGGGGAAAGTTACAAAGAAACAAGGACACTTTGATACAGGAGAAAAGATGAACAGACTTTCTTAACCCTTTTGGTTTGTTTAGGGTGCACTTGGACAATTCTCTAGGGGTCTCTGCTTCTCTTTACATTTTGAAGATATGAATTTAGCCTGTGATTCACAAACTCTAGGGGGCATAAGAATCATCTGGGAGGTTAATTAAAAATAAAGATTTTTAGGGCCGGGCGCGGTGGCTCACGCCTGTAATCCTAGCTCTCTGGGAGGCCGAGGCGGGCGGATTGTTTGAGCTCAGGAGTTCGAGACCAGCCTGAGCAACAGCGAGACCCCGTCTCTACTATAAATAGAAATAAATTAGCCAAACAACTAAAAACATATATAGAAAAAATTAGCCGGGCATGGTGGCATATGCTTGTAGTCCCAGCTACTTGGGAGGCTGAGGCAGGAGGATCACTTGAGCCCAGGAGTTTGAGGTTGCTGTGAGCTAGGCTGACGCCACGGTACTCTAGCCTGTGCAACAGAACGAGACTGTCTCAAAAAAAAAAAAAAAGAGATACAAATTAAATGTGTTGGGAATTCAGAGCAGAGAAAAATGACTTTTGGTTAAAAAGATCAGTATGGTGGAGCTTCAAGCTGGGGTTAAACAATACTTGGGTTTGGACATGCAGAAACGGGGCAGAGGGTATTCAGGCAGAAGGGCAATATGAAGGAAGGCAAAGAAAGTGCACCCAGGCACAATGAATGGAGGGAGGGCTGGATGGACAAAGAGTAGTCAAGGAAGATAAGCTTCAGGGTAAGTTTTGGAGGGCCTTAGAAATCAGGCTAAGCAACTGGACCTTTCCATTATCGTTGGGCAATGGGGAACAACCAGAGGGTTTGTGGCAGGGCAGTGAAATGATTGGAGCTTTTCTTTGGCGATGTTTTTCTAGCATCCTCGAGCAGACTGGATTGGTTACAAAGATCCAGGTGGGGGCTGTTGTAAGAATCCAGGAGCAAGGGAATAGGGGCTTAAACTCTGACAGTAGTCATGGGGCTGGTTCCAAGAGAACCTGGGAGGTAAAATTATTGAGATTTGGAGACTGATTTGTTTAGAGAGTAAGGGAAAATTGGGACAGATGTCAGGTTTCAAATCATGTAACTGGGAGATAGGAGCAGTATAAGGAGAGAGACAGGGAATATAAGAGGAATTAACTCTTACTGATGTCAAAGCATAAATTTCAAAAAATTAAAAAGATGACTTTCATACAAGTATGTAGTAAGCATGGTTGAAAGACTTATCTAACTTATTGGTAATCAGAGTAATGTAAAACTGGTTCTCAGGAGGATATGAGAGACCATGGTGTGTGTGTGTGTGTGTGTGTGTGTTTGTATTCAATTAAAAAAAAAAACATATGCTGGGATAAGATTGCTGGGTTAGATCCAAAACTGACTAATAGTCTACAGGACAATAAAATTGTTAGCTTTGTAAGTAACTGTACCAGAAAGAAATCATTTTCACTTCTATTAGACAAAAATCATTTGCAATTTATCAGTTTTCTATAGTGAATACCTTAGTTACAGACTCTGGGCCCAACTCTTAATAAATAGCAACTTACATAAAATCATCTTTCCCTACCATCAGATGACCCTTTGGAGGGTTTTGTAGACAGTGCTGTTGTCTAGAGGTGGGAAAACTTTTTCTTTAAAGGTCCCGATAGTAAATATTTTAGGCTATGAGGGCCATATGGTCTCTGTCACAACTGTCAAACTCAATTCTGTTGTTGTGAAATGAAAGCAGCCATAGATGATACATAAACAAATGCGTGTGTCTACATCCCAATAAAACTTCATTAAAACAGGGCAGTGGGCTCAATTTGACCCACAAGCCATAGTTTGCTGACCCCTGCTCTAGTTCAGCAGTTTTCAGACTTGAGTGATCATCAGAATCACCTGGAAGGCTTCCTTTTTTTAAAAAAAAAACAGAGTCTCACTCTGTTGCCTGGGCTAGAGTGCCATGGCATCAGCCTAGCTCACAGCAACCTCAAACTCTTGGGCTCAAGCGATCCTCCTGCATCAGCCTCCCAAGTAGCTAGGGCTACAGGCATGTGCCACCATGCCTGGCTATTTTTTTTGTTGTTGTTTCCTATTTTTAGTAGAAAAAAATAGCTCTCACTATTGCTCTTGCTCAGGCCGGTCTCAAACTCCTGATCTCAAGCGATCCTCCCACGTTGGCCTCCCAGAGTGCTAGGATGACAGGCATGAGCCACCGTGCCTGGCCTGGAAGGTTTGTTAAACCACACATTGCTCTGGGTCCCACCCCCAGAGTTTCTGACAGTAGACCTTGGGTGGAGCCTGAGAATTTGCACTTCTGACCAATTCCCAGTGATGCTGATGCTGTTGGTCCATGGACCACACTTTGAGAACCACTGATCTCGTATGACACTGAAAGGGCAGTCAGTAATTCTCTTACCTTATTTCCAGGTTTGGGGTCATTTGTTTCAACAAAGGGAAGATGAAGAACTCAGATTTGGGGCATACTGAGATTCAGGTACCAGAGGGCATCAAGTGGAGTTTGTGGTAAATAGTTTCAAACATGGATCTGGAGCACTGAAGCAAATAAAGCACTTGGGAAATAGTCATAGCACTGAACAGTTAGAGCCATTAAAATGTTAAAGGGATGAACCTATAGAAAGAAGAGGATTTAGGCCAGAACTTTGGAGGGAGTGGGAGAGAAGGTGAGGAGCAGCCAGGGTAAGAAAGGGGAGGAGAACGCAGGAAGCCGTGTTGTGCAAAGCAGAAGTCTTCGGTTTTATCAGTATTTCCAAACTGTAGAGTGGGCAAGGGGCCAGATAAGCAAAAGTTTGGATCAGAGATATTCTAGGGATGATGGCTTAAAGCTCTTCTCCCAACAAAACTAGACTAGAGGATAAACAAGTATCATCAAGTTTCACATTTTCTTTGTACCAGCAGAGGGCCGCAAAGGCAAAGGAATGCTAATAACATCTTTGGTTCTAAGGCACGCACCAGTGCAGAGTTAATTCCTAAGTGGTATTAGGGGATAAAAGGACTGTGGGTCACTTAGCTTCTTGCTGCCATCATCATTTGGGTATTTTAGTCCAGGACAGTATGATCACTTGAATGAGAGTTGCGATAAAGGAAGGTGAAAGCTTCTGAGTGCCTGGGGAAGGGAGAGTGTGGGGTCCAGTTTGGAACTTGGATTGTAAGGAGTCCAGGGTGTCACCGTGCACCGTCAACACAAGCCTTGCCTCATACTAAGTGCCATTACGGTTCATAGAATCCATCTCAGAGTTCTTTCCTCATTATTGGTTTTATTTTTTCAAAATATGA